CCCCCCACCTCCACGCAGATGATCAGACGGGGGCGTTTCTGAAGATGCACATGTTTTAAACCCTGTTCTGGTTACACTACCGCATGCAAGTGTGCGGGCAGGCTTGCCTACCGACTTTTACCACGGCGTCTTATGGCCCTGTGTGAGTAGGCAACCCGTCCGCACACCTGCATGCGGGGTGCGGCTTTACCCAACCCACCCTGCAGACAGTTTGTTTTTATTTTAATCTAAAAGAAGAACCACTTTGTGCATTGCCTCCTGTAAGAACGTAGTTCGTGTGTAGTTTTGACTCACCTGGACGGCTTTGGCCAGCTCCTCTGGGGGCAGGTTGGCCGGAGGCAGCTGCAGGTGGTCGGTGAAGTCGCGCAGCTGGTCGGCCGCGTCGCGGTAGCGCCTCCAGAGGTCGACGACGCGCTCGTAGCGCTCCGTGAGCAGCGCCACCTGCTCCTGGGCGCCGTCCCAGGCCTCGCCCGCCTCGCGCACCGCCGCGTCCACGCGCGCCGACACCTCCGGGCAGCACACGGCGCGCAGCGGCTCGGCCGCCGCGGCCAGCGAGCCCACCAGGTCCCCGCTCTCCGACAGGGACGAGCGCACGGCCTGCGGGAGAGAAACAGATCAGTATGGGGTGCACGGAACACTGAGAGAGGGACGGCGATCCCGTCTGCTTAAGTTGGGATCTGGGGTAGTTCCGTCCTGAGAAACTCCACAGGCCCTATTTGATCTGCTGTGGAGTCTAGCGAGCACCGCGCTATGATGAGCTGACCTGGGCCTGGGCGCACCGAAGCGCCCCTACCACGGAGCAGAGGGACATGGCAGCGCCGACACACACAACCACACGCGGCCGTGCGCCACGCCGCACTACAGGCGGCGGCGGCGGAGGAGGAGGCTGGCCGACGGCGGCCGCGGTCCAGCCCCGCCACGCCCCCGGCCCCGTCCCTGGCGCCCACCCGCCTCCCTCCCCGCCCAAAGGGCTAAAACAGGGCGGCGGCGGGCTGCTGTTTACCACCGCGCGTGTCGCGGAAAAGCGTCGCAACTCCCCTGGGGGATCCACGGCAGTTACGTGTGTACATCGTTTATCCACACGAGAGTGTGACGCGGGAAGTCCGTCCGTCCGCCTAGCCGCGCGCCGTGCAGCACCTTTTTCCTTATCAGTGTCCAGCGATAACGCTCACCACTCTCCCAAAAGGGCTGGCCGGGTGCGCGCTGCGCGTACCTGGTGCGCTGATTGCTGACCACCACGTCCAGCGCTCCGCATTGAGGGGATACACTGCGTCACTTGTGGGTCCGTCTCGTCACTTCCATGTCGTGTCACTGATCCCGACGATGCCCACTTGCACAGTCCGTCTGTCCACCTTACGGGTGCAGTCAGTCCGTTCGCTGTCTTTCAGAGGGCCCGGCCCGGCGGCCACGCGACGTCGCGCAGCTGTGTGGTTGCCTGCCTGCGCTGTGCAACTCTGCAAACAGGCACGCTCCCCGCCCAGCGCCGCCCCGCGCGCGCGCCCCTGCCTGCTCAAGCTCGCGGGCACGAACGACCCAAAACGGAGCGCGCGCGGCTTCGTTCGCGTTCGCGGAACGCAACTAAAAACACTGTCGATCTTGTAAATGGGCGCCGCGGGGCCGGTAGACGGGAGAGTCAATCACGAACAAGCAGCTGTCACACAGCGCAGGCGGGGATTTGATTCTGGACATGAATGACGTTCGCTCTCTAACTTGTCACTCACTCACTCACTCACTCACTCACTCACTCACTCACTCACTCACTCACTCACTCACTCACTCACTCACTCACTCACTCACAAAAATCACTAAGAAATCACTTACTCTTAATAACGTACGAGGTGCGAAAATAAACGGCAGGCTAGTAGGCCAGTAGACTGCACGCCTTAGCTTTTCGCGGTCACGGGTGCTTGCGTAAGACGAAATCGACCAGTTTAAAAATGAGCCGAAAGCATCGCTGACTTCATCCAACTCCCTGCCCCTCTCTTCCGTAAGGCCGTGGTCGCGACTCCCCCCCCCCCCTCATTTCCCTTGTCGGCCTGGTACAGTTTTCCGCGCGATAGGGCAGGCGCGCTTTGTGTGATAAGGGATTGAGATGACGAGGGGTCGGGGCCGCCACACCACACCAACCGGGATACAACGGAATACATTAAAAATCGTCGATGCTTAATGCGAGTTGCTGCACCACTGTAAGGCACAACGCGCTCAGGCTGCGATCCTTTTAAAATACCAACAACCCCACGATTCGCTCGTCCTCACCCGCACTGTGTGTGTCAAGACGACGTCATGTAGGCGCCACACCTTTGCGCCACTATAGGCAGAAAACTCAGGCCGAGGAAGAGATTCCATGAATTTGAGTTTCGGTGGTCCAACGGACACGGACACAACAACACGGTCCGGTCGTCTTGTTGGCCTGAGGGCGAGTCCGAGGGTCCCCTCGCCGGACGGAGGCTTGAACGCAGGTGGGGAATCAACACGAGTCTCGTAAAGATTGTGCATACACTAAGAAAAGCGATTTCTTGTGGCCGTATGGTCTAAAGGGGAAAGCGGAGGATGAGGAGGGGGTGGGGGCACTTTTCCTTTCGCTATAGACGTTTTATCCAAAGCGGTTATTCGCACAGTCGCCCGAATATCGCTATTTTTGTCCAGCGACAACCTCCTCACTGTGATCAGTATTTGAAATTTGGGCCTCGGTAGTTGATGGGAATAAGTAGTCACAAAAATCGACTACCATGGCTAGAATTTTGAATTTTGATCGCAATAAAGGGTGTGTCTCTGGAAACAATTAGCGTTGCGGTGTTGCCACATCGTTTGGATAAAAGGACTAAGTAGACGGTCTTGGGGACTGCAATTTGGGGGGCCCCACCTCTGGCGGCATATAGTCAGTCACAGCGCGCCGCGGTGTCCTGCGCGACGGCCTCCTTGTGGCGCGCGCGGGCGGCACCTCGATGGCGGGGGCGGCGCTGCCCGCACCTCCGGCAGCACCATGACCCGGGGCCAGCGGAGATGGAGGGCTCGCAGTCCACACAATGATATCCCACTCGGGCGACGCGCGACGCGACGCGACGCGATTCGACTCGACGCGACGACGCTACCGCCAGCACATTCACGCTGCGTTCGCAGCCGCGGCCGGCGCGGGACTGACTGACTGACTGGCGCGCTAGAGTCCGCGTGGCCCTGCGCGGGGACAAGGAGAGTTGGGAAAGAGGGGGGGGGGAGGTGTGCACACACATACAAGCATCGAGCATTGTTCAAAGCTAGGCATTACCCGTTATCAAAATGCACTGCCAGGATACATGTGTCCTAGAGCTCCCCCCCTCCCCTCCCTCCTTTCCCCCTCAAGTTGACCCCCCCGCAAGAACCTCTCCTCTAGAACCATATGGTACGTATATTTTCACCAGGTAACGTGTATGCGGAGTTACTGAGAATGAACAAGGCCGTTCTTCTCTAAATAGAGGTGTGACGTAGAGGGAGGTCCTCTTGCCTTGACCTTCTTTCGATTTGGGACCTGCTGTTCTACGATTTTGGCGGAATATCGCCGATCTCGATGAGGTTCCCCGAAGAAAATAGAAACTTAACTGTTCTTTTGGATTTGCACCGACCGTTCAGTGTCCAGGAGTGACCCGCAACTACCCCGAATTTCAAGATTCCGGCTTTGTTTTCAAAACAGAAGGGCGAGACGAAAAGAACACTCCCCCCAAAAAATATTTTACGCAATTCGCGATGCATTACGACTAACACGGCCTGAAGAGTTGATTAGCGCAAGGAGAGGCGCCGCGCGTGGGCGGAGGGGG